AGAAGCCAGGGGCTCAGGCAGCTGGTCTGCCCTCTTCCTACCCAGTGGTGTTTGGGGTACTGGGGACCAGTGCGTTCCAATAATACTGGGTCCTCAGTTTAATGGTGGAGCTGCTGGTGTGGACAACCGAAACATTTCATCAAACTCCCTACAGAATGCAAGCAGTAGGACCTCCCTCTGTGGAACAGAGCGTTTCAGCTTAATTTTGAGTTTGTTAATGATGGAGAATCCAGGTAGACTTTTTAATTTTGGGTTTGTTTTCCCTCCTTTCCCCCCAATTAACGACACCGTTAACCATTTTTGCCCAACTTCTTGTTCAAACCAATAAGAAACATAAAAAAAAAAGATCATCTCTCATTTTGCTCATCTACTTGGAGCTCCTTCATAGCTGCATGAAAATCATAATTTTTTTTTCTAATACCAGCAGAACCCTTCTTACTAACCAAGCTATATTAGAAATTAAATTAGCGTCAGCATCATTCAAGGGACATGTGCCTCTAGTAGTTCTGTGCAACATTTTCTCGAAATCTCACGTTTTTAAACCAGCACCTCTACTTAACAATTAATTTAAGCTTTAGCTTTATTGTCAGCATTATTACAAAGTTGAAAATTAGCAATTTTTTTTTTTTTTTGAGATGTGATTGTCTTATTAAATGCAAATGTTTCTTATTTCTGAATATTTAAATACCTGTGTGCACATACAGATCTGTGCTGCACCAGGATGTGAAACTAATGGCTCTGGCACATCATCTGTCCATAAAAATGTACAGAAAGGTGGCAAATTACAATGCTTGAGCTTCTGACAGAAACCAGGAGATGTTGCAAAATTGATCAACACCTTTTCTGGCAATTATTTAGCTAAAAAGTGTATCTAGCATTTTTTAACCCCTTTCTAGATTTCAGCCTTTTTTGAGTTTCACAGAAATTGCCCAAGGAAGCTGTGGCTGCTCCTCCCTGGAAGTGTTGAAGGCCAGGCTGGATGGGGCTTTGAGCAACCTGGTCTAGTGGAAGGTGTCCCTGCTGATGGCAGGGGGGTTGGAACTGGATGATCTTGAAGGTCCCTTCCAACCCAAACCATTCTATGATTCTGTGAAATGAACTACTAACTCATCATGAACTCCAGCCACCTTAGCTTTCCACAGCATGACCACAAGCACCAAGCCCAGCTGCAGAACTGAAGAAGGGTCTCCAAAAGCAGCACGTCAAGCTGGGCATCCACCCAACAACAGTTTTTCCACAGGAAAATATCTTTGCCCGGGTGAATGCTGCTGATTTGAACCAATTCCTGTGACTCGAGGTACATGGCTATGGGCAAATCTACAGAAAGTCAAATGCCCAACGTAGATTTTCAGTGTTGCAGGAGGACAACTGCTCCTGAGGTTGCAGATTCCAGACTTCCTACGTGTCATGGATTTTGAACAGATTCCCCTTCAGAGATCCGCAGAGATTTGAGGAGGCACCTGGGCTTGGACTGCATGGCCGTGACTGTGGATTTCAGCTCCTAGACTTTGTTTTTTTAGTGAAATCCACTTGTAAAGACACATTATCAGGCACGTTCCAGCTGCCCTCCAGACCATATCCTGGAAATAGGAGAAAAGTAACTTCTTTCTTCTCCCAGCAATCATTCACTCCTGGAACTCCTCCACCTAGCTACAGCATGCTATTTTTAGAGCTGGATCTCCCTATCTCCTGACCTAGTGGACATTAGGACAGAGCGGTAGCTTCTGAGTAGAAGCCAAGTGCTGCCACAAAATACAAGTTGAACAGTTTCATCTAATCCAGCTCGTAACGGAGAAGATTCAGAGTTCAGAAGGACGCTGCGTTTTGATTTTGCTTCAGGCACTTTGCTATAATAAGGGTTTGTCATATTCGGATGGAAGATAATGACCTAGAAC